CACACAACTTCGATTTTCAAACTATATCCCATGATAAAGTTAGGGAGGAAATTAAGCAAATGAAACTGCTAAATCATCGGGCTATGACAAAATTTCTGTGAAACTATTGCAGGCCGCTGGGGGTGCAATCGTTGTGCTACTAACGTATATATTTAACCAATCTCTTAAGACTGGAATTAACCCCTATCCACAAATCAGAAGAAAAAACCCTATGCGGTAATTATAGGCCGATTTCTGTCATTTCTATAGTTCCCAAAGTATTTGAGAAAGTTGTACATGAACAATTAATGAAATATTTGGAACACCACCAAATAATTTCCAAATTTCAGTCTGGATTTCGTGTAAATCATTCAACTGAAACATCATTACTACATGTAACTAATAGCTGGTTAGCAAACATGGACGCTGGTTTGATTAATGGTGTCCTATTTTTGGACCTTAAAAAGGCCTTTGACACGGTAAACCATAAAATTCTATTATCCAAATTGGGATGTTATGGAATTCGTGGATTAGCACTGTCATGGTTTCAAGTATATCTTAGTAACAGGAAACAAATTTGCAAAGTAAATAACTCGCTATCAACCTTCCAAAATATTACATGCGGCATCCCACAAGGATCTAACCTTGGGCCACTTCTGTTTACAATTTATATAAATGATCTGCCAAATAGTTTAGAAATAACTGAACCCGCCATGTTTGCTGATGATACAAGCTTAACTGCAACTGGGGAGTCTTCTTTTGAAATTGAATACAAATTGGGGGTGGAAATCCAAAACGTTAAGACTTGGTTAGATGCAAACAAATTAACATTAAATGAAGAAAAAACCGAGTATATGCTAATCGGCTCAGGAAAGCGCTTAAAACAGATCAGAAATGACCCTATTATTAAAATTAGAGATCATATAATTAAACGGGTTTACAAGAAAAAGGTCTTAGGCTTAGAAATAGACGATAAATTACAATGGACAAAACATGTTGAAAAACAAACTAAAAAGATTTCGTGTTCTATAGCTATGTTACGAAAAGTGAAGCCTTACGTACCTCAAGCAACACTACAGATGATGTATAAGTCATTTGTACTCCCCTATTTCAACTATTGTTCAACTATATGGTATGATGGTAATAAAATGCACGCCGAAAAAATGCTGAAATTGCAAAAGCGTGCAACACGGATCATTACCAGTTCGGGCTTAGAAGAACGATCTTCTGAAATTTTTCAAATGCTCAAATGGACAAAAATACAATCAATACTAAAAAAGAGAGAATTAGTGATGACATTTAAAGCACTTAGGGGTATGGCTCCAGAATACTTAACACAGATGTTTCATGTCTCCGTTAACCAAACGTACCAACTACGAAATAATCATCAAAAGCTTTACCTACCGAAACCTAAGACGAATTTTTTAAAACGAAGCTTCTCCTATAGAGGAGCAGTTTCATGGAACCAAATGTTAATGGAAAAACTTCCAATTACGGAAATACCTGAAACTTCCATCTGTTCTTTTAAAAAATTAATAGATGGCTTGTGTTTTTGAATTGGGAGGTCATCCTGCCAAACCATATCAAAGCATTATGCCTTGGCGATGTAAATAGAGTATATTATGCATGATTGTTTTTTTAGTTAATAATTTTAATATTCTTATAATAGTTTATAGTAAGTGTGCACGGCCCTTTGAAAAACAGGCTTCTGAAAGGCTACCGTGAATAAATAAGCTTAAATAATAATAATAATAATAATAAATAATAATAACAGGGTGTATAAAAAAAAACGCAACCTCGGAATTTCCTAAGAAATCACTTTGCAATTCTTAAGCATAAAAGATTTTAAGCCCCTGGGAATTGAAATCGAATTGCTAATAGATCTTATTACTGTTGTTGTGCATTAAATAAATGCATAAATTTTGCTATATGCACTCGCGTGTGCAATAATTTTGACATTTTAAATTCCCAGGCGCCTAAAATCTTTTGTCTTTAAAACCATGTCGATTTCTTGGGAAATTCCGAGGTTGCGTTTTTTTTTATATACCGTGTATATGTACAGGGTGTCTCAAAAAAAACAAAATCATTGAAATTGACGTATTGTTCGATATTCAATGCCCTAGCACTAAGTTAATCCCACGAGTGCATAAAAGATTGACATAACTGCTATAATGAATGGTAATACTCAGCGTAAACTTGTTATGTCAGGCATAAAGTACTAAACCCACGAATTTACGAAGCATTTTTAAATTCCCATGAGCAAACAAACGTTACTTTACAAAGATATTTTAATTTTTTAAACCAAATTAATCACCCTGTCAAAATCCTTTGTGTTACGGCATTGAAATTCGAACAATACGTTATTTCAATGATTTTGGGTTTTTTTGAGACACCCTGTATATCAGCAAACGCAAACGATAAGAAAGACATTGTCTAGTCTATTGTTGTGAACACAATCACAATAGTCTAAAGCTTCTCAAGAATGTGAACGACTAATTATAACAATGAATTATAAGCGTTCAGTTGACTAATTTAACACGCTGGCTTAGGCAGCGTTTACACTGTACCGTTTTCGTAGCGTTCTCGTATTGTTCGAGAGAACTAGACTATTGTCTTGCGTTCCCTTGAGGATTAAGAACAATACGAGAACGCTACGAAAACGGTACAGTGTAAACGCTGCCTTAGTTTCTCAAAGCGTAGTGGAGTAATATTGCTATCTGGCTGTTTCTCAAAGCGTAGTGGAGTAATATTGCTATCTGGCTGTCATATAATATTCATAGTCCGATAGAAAATCGTGAACCGTAAAAACAAAGACATGAAAATTTGTTTTTAGCACAAGCATGCAGTTATGAAGCCATGACTAAGCGAGATGAAATTGCATTAACCTGGCAACAGTTCAGATAATTCAGTTGTTACCTTAACTTATTTTGTAATAGGCACGGCAAGGCAAAATTTGATGTAAGGCAAAAGTTAGCTGACTTAGGCACGGCATGTTTATTCTAAATATTGTGGGACATTTAACTTATCTATAGAATTCAAATGCGAGGAAATACTTTTGAAAACTGCGCATTTAGTTATCTATGCTTTGTCCAGATTTACACCTCATTTAGGCTATACTGTATACACACGGCACTAGACACATTTTGCCCGGATAAAGTGTATCTTGCATGACCAAAAATTAAAGCAAAACATTTAGCGAACTCAGTCTACGTTGCAAACTTCGAGAACATTAGTTTCACAAGTGTCTAGTTATTTGTTTATCAAGTCAAAATCGCGAAGGTTTTGAACGTTTAACGATTTTGATTCGCACAAGATCGACTAGAACTGGGTCCACTATAGTACGATCGTACTTCCTGGTCCACTATAGTACGATCGTACTTGTTATCATTATTTACATATTCCTGTAGTCCGAAATAAGAAGGGTACAGAAAATTTTAACTCAAAAACTTGAGTAAAATAATTCACCCACAGCGACTTAAAAACGTTAAAATATTGAATAAAATCACTCGAAATAATTAATGAGCAACTTTACTCTTTTTTTGAGCAAAGTCAAAGTTATTATTACTGCATTATTTATTATGCAGTAATAAATTTACGTGGTGTTTCCACAAACAAAAAGTATTGGTATGTTTTATCGCCATGCAAAGTAAATCTTTACTAAAAATTTGAAACTTTACTCAAAAAATTGAGTAAATTTACTCATAAATTTGAGTAATTTTAGTCAATATTTGGAGTCACTACATTGTTTTATTTTTTGGAGAAGACACATCCCCCTGGTTCACAAAATTTGAGTTCGAGAATTTTTTCCCATTATTCTACATTATAAGTATCCAAAGAAGCTATATACATCAAAAACTGGATACTAAAGCTGTTTTGCGAAATTGAGAGCAATTTCGAATCTGTTCAGTTTTTTTTATACACTCTGTAAATATATATCAATGCTGAGCTATCGCTGCCTCATCCACAGACCATGGTGCATCATGGGAAGGTCACATAAAGTCGCACGTTCCCATGATGCACGAGCGTTTGCCGGCCAGGCAGAAGCTATGGCGCGAACGGGGATTAGAATCGAGTATTGTTCAATAGATGATTCCCCTTATTACGTTTTCGTAGCGCTTTGCATTGTGGTTATAGTGGTATCACTGATATTCAAGATGGCTTATTTTTTGTCCTGACCCTTGCAAGAACTTTTAAAACAGCTAGGGTCAGGTGCGCGATAGTCAACAGCAAAATATTCGCGAAAACATTCAATATTTTCATTCGCGAGGCCGCTATCTTTATCAGTGATACCACTATAACCACAATGCAAAGCGCTACGAATACGTAATAAGGGGAATCATCTATTGAAACTATTGAAGTACACAAGATAGATATTTTTATGTTAAAATCTGTCTTGTTGTAAGTGTTGCAATTCAACTGTATTTAAGAATTTGGCCAAGATCGACGAAAAATGAGTTAACTGGCTCGGAACTCGCACCTTCGGGTTTCCAAAGAGCGCGTTTTAAGCTAATGGTAAACCAGAAGTGTATCCAGCATGAACCACCAACCCATCATTTTCCGTTGAGGCCTTGAACGAAGTGTGACGACTGAACTTTAATCCACTGTACGAGATTTGCGGGACTCTCGCGCGAGCCCTGAACAATGACATGGTGCGCCCCTAATATAAGAATTGAACACGTTATTCTGTAATTTTGTATCGTACTTTGTATGTAAATTTATTAAAATATTCGTTAAAATTGTGGTATATCGAAGTATGATAAGAGTCAAACCAGCGAGAAAAATATTCTACATGGTCCTTCGAGCGGATTTAAGAACCCAAAAGTGAACTGAATACTGAATACGAACTGAATCGAGCCATATTTCAACGAAAGAACCGATAAACCGGTGAGTCAAATTATGTCGAAAGATGTTATAAAAAGAAAGAAAATTCGTGAAGCCCATCGGTCCTCGTTATGGCGAACAATGAATGATGCAAATGAGACTTTGAGCCAACCTGAGACTATAGCAAATGAGACAATTCCATGAGTATTAATGCAGCAAAAACTTACATTAAAAGATTACAAGAAAAATTAGAGATCTTAAGAGAGAAAAATGGTGGAATTCTAGCATTGGTAAGACATGATGAAATTGATGAAGAAATCAAACAATCAGACATCCTTCATGAAGAAGCAACGAGAATTATTGTCCATATTGAAGGAGTTTTGGAAAAACTTACTCTCCTGTATTGCAGTCAACCTTTAATTTCGGTAAAGGTACGTTTACCGAAATTAAAGTTGAAAAAATTCAATGGTGATGTGATAGAATGGCAATCGTTTTGGGATGCCTACAAATCTACAATTCATGTAAACCCAGAACTATCAGACATTAATCGATTTATTTGAAGTCTTTGTTGGGAATTCAGCAGCAGAAGCAATTGCTGAACTCAAGTTGACTTCACTTAATTATGCCGAAGCAATTGCTATTCTTGAAAAGAGATTTGGGGATAAACAGTTAATAATTAAAAGTCATATGGATGCTATGGTCATGACACGAAGGCAGTTAGACAGTTCTACAACAAGGTAGAATTGAATGTGAGAGGTTTGAAGGCATTAGATATACCCTCATCTTCATATGGCAACCTAATGGTCTCTATATTAATGAATAAATTACCCCACGATCTACGACTATTTGTCACACGAAAGTTGAAAGGAGATGCATGGGATATAGATACCCTACTTACCATCCTTCAGGGAGAGGTGCAAGCCAGGGAACGGGCTTCTGCACACAAACCAACTGATCACAATACCCCAACATTCCCGACTGCAGGAAAACACTCAACCCAATCAGCACTATTCTCTGGAAATAGCCCAAATTGTACCTACTGCAGGCAAGCACATTCATCAGCCATTTGTACTGTTGTGACAAGTGTAGATGCAAGGAAGGAACTGCTTAGGAAGTCAGGGAGATGCTATGTGCATTGTGTTTGCGAAAAAATCACATCAGTCGAAATTGTCAGGCAACTAAAGTATGCTACAAGTGCGGTAAGAGGCACCATCCCAGTATTTGCTATTCCTAACAGTCGAAAGGTCCACAACTTCCATCAACACCTTACAATCCCCAACGATCACAAGAGAGGGAAATTCTACCCAGTTCCTTATCGAAGGATCACCCGAACAATCTCCCATGCCGCATAAACCTGCCGTTATGTATACTGACACCACCACATCAATTTTGCTACAGACAGCGAAAGCGAAGTGTTGGTCCCCAGCAAACCGTAGTAACAACATGAATGTCCATATCCTTCTCGAAAGCGGCAGTGATCATATGCCACCTCGAGAGTAAAGAACAAACTTGATTAACCTACCAATGATTGGATCTGAGTCGCTTATGATCAAAACCTTTGGTTCCGCGTCAGAACCTACTCAAAATTGTGATATTGTTTCATTATCTGTGGGAAATGATTATGACAATGCTATAAATCTCAAGGCTGATGTGGTTCCAACTATTTGTGTACCAATCAGCAATCAAGCAACCCTTGCTGTCCAGTCAACATATGATCACCTTCGTGGACTACGCCTTGCGAACTGTGATGAGACGAACAATGAATTTGAAGTAGACATGTTGATTGGTTTGTATCAGTAAGCCTCAGCAAGGTCGGATGGTCCTTCGTTGAACAATTGCCTCTATACCGGCCTATCGCTAGCCCAAAACATCCTCGATATATTGTTGAGATTCCAAACCCGTAAAGCCGCATTAGTCGGGGACATCGAGACTGCATTTCTCATGATATCCACCGCCCCAGAGGATAGAGACGCCCTACGACGCCCTACGATATTACAAGCGAAAGACCAAAAATTATTGTGCTTAGATTCACCCGCGTTGTGTTTGGTGTGTTTTCCAGTCCATTTCCTACCTTATTCATTCCACCGACTCTATTCTTAAAGCAATTGACCAGAAGAAAGTAACAGCAGTTATTCTTTTGGACATGAGCAAAGCTTTTGACAGCATTAACCATAATATACTGTTTGCTAAATTGGAGGACGTTGGTGTCTCGTCTAGATGCCTGGGTTGGTTTAAAAGTTACCTCAGCGAGAGATACCAAGCAGTACGTATCAACTCCACTCTATCTGAGAAATTGCCAGTGGTTAGTGGTGTCCCACAGGGAAGTATTCTGGGCCCGTTACTTTTCAGTATTTATGTGAATGATTTGCCGTCAGTCGCCAAAAATTGTTCATCAGAATCGTACATTGATGACACCAAACTCCTTCTGTCCTTCCGAATCAATGACTCGAACATTGTGCTGACTGATCTAAACGAGGATTTGATTAGAGTGCGAAACTGGTGCTTTGATAATCTGCTCTTGCTGAATCCAGACAAAACTAAGTTGATGGTCTACGGAAGCCGCCAAATGATCGCGAAGTTACCTGATTTTAGACTCTCGCTACTTGGTAAGGAACTTACACCTGCTTCATCAGTGAAAGAGATCCAATCGTCTCCTTCGACAATCATATCCTTTCTACTGTTTCATCCTGCAAGTCAAGTCTCTGCCAGATAAATCGCGCTAAGCATGTCTTCCGTAAAAACCTTTTATCGCTTCCGCGGTAGCAGGCAATACATAACCTAAACTTTAGCGGCAATTTATCAGCCTGATGAGCTCCGTTTTCTGTGCGAAGGACTGCATGCAAAAGATCAATAACAGTACACCGTTCTGGATAAAATAATGGCAATGTGCAGGAGCACAATGCCGATTTAATGATTAACACAAAAATATCAAATTACAAATAAATGTTACAAATTTAGTATTCATGCATAGCGCAGAAAAGGTGGGGTGTTAAAAAACGCCCCATATACAAAAACCGCCAGTAACGTGTATCGTAGGACGCAAAATGAGGCAAGGGATGGCGGGAGGGAAAGTGTGAGGAGGACTTGAAGGAGGACTTGAAAAGACTTGTGAGGAGGACTTGAAAACTTGCCTTGTGAAGCCAAAGGTGAATGACCTTGACCGGTTAACCCTCAACGTTTTATATAGTAGGCCCAAGATGCACGTGAAGCGTGACATGGAAATTCACTGATGTGTTGCAAAATTCCACGGGAAATAAAACTGGTTGAACGAGTTTCCCTGCCAGGTTCCCTCCATAACCCCCATTCCGCGTGCTACCCCGAATCCCTAAATATCCCAACAAAATTCCCACGGAAGCAATAAATTGATTATTCGCTGAAGCAAATAACTCCTTTATCGCTTCCGCGGTAGCAAGCAATGCATAAAACCTAAACTTTAGCGGCAATTTATCAGCCTGATGAGCTCCGTTTTCTGTGCGAAGGACTGCATGCAAAAGATCAATAACAGTACACCGTTCTGGATAAAATAATGGCAATGTGCAGGAGCACAATGCCGATTTATTGATTAACACAAAAATATCAAATTACAAATAAATGTTACAAATTTAGTATTCATGCATAGCACAGAAAAGGTGGGGTGTTAAAAAACGCCACAAGCCGACTATAAGGAGGCACCCCACCCCATCAGGCAGAAAAATCGCCGCCAGAGCCGATGGACTAAATTGATATAAATCGGGAAAGCAAGGCAAACGGCCACTCATGATATAACAAATAATCAGCGAAGTCTCATAAGAATGTAACCTAAAATACCACTACTGAACGTATAAATTTAATAGTAGACGTATGGCACTGACAGTAAATTAGATTATTAGAACTCTGAAGCCGACCGTGAACCTAGCCCCTGCATCAGCACACGGATGGGCAACAAAGTACCTTATAAAGAGTGTAAAACTGCA